CGCTCTCCAACTGTTGAACAATGAGAGTCCTGTTGCTAGGAGACACTCCCATTGTGCACTGCAACGGATTAAGTTTTATTGTTTCGTAAATATTGATAGCTATTCTGATGTTTAATAAGATGCATGTTATTAGGTTCAAATTGTTTCATTAAAAAAGAGTGTTAGAATTAGCCTAATGTTAAAGCAGGCCTATTATGCATGATCAACTTTTCAGAGCTTTTAACCATGTTATAGTTGTTCCTTCTCACCATTTAGCCTCTCAAAGTTGTTTTTGGAGTGATTCATGCATATTTAAGCAATCTTTAATCACTTATTTTATGGGCACTGCAGATTTCTAATGTCTAAGTCAGCGGACTTGTTTCTTTTATTAAGACTTTTTAGATGAATATCATGATTTAAAATGTCCCGATTATAACACAATGATCCATAGGTGCCGTATATAACACAACCATACCATAGACTGTGTACTAAGCCAGTGTGACGTCAGTCATAGTGTTCAGTGCCACTCAAATGAGGCTCGCGATGCTAACGGTTACATGGGCGAATCTGGAGCCAGGCTCTATATTATGAATGTGATTTTTTTTTGACGGACAAAATCGTGAAAAAAATTCAGGATCATGTAGAGCGGGTTAATATGAACATTTTAAGACCAAAACGACGAGGCTCACTGCAGCATTTACAGAGAGAGGGGCAACAAGATTCCAGTGTAAGTCAATTAGACCCAGGATGAGAAGGAGCCAGAAGAGCCTCCTGGCGAACTTCCTATTTGGCACGCGGTGGCTAGCGCGTTAGCTATGAATGCAACATAACACAACTGGTCTTCTTTAAACCAATGGTGATTTTGGGTGCTAAAATCTAAACTTCATTCAATGTATTCTGAAACTACAGTGTTCTGCAGGTGAAAGTCTTACCATACTCTGTTCTGTATTTTGTACACTTACATTCCTGCCAGGGTCTAATAGCCCAAAAGTTAGCATATATACAGTATTTCTTAATTTGATGAAAGAGGAAAACATCTGCATAGGAGTCATACTTTACACCTGAAGTACATGCATCCTATAGGTTTGGCCATTTGTCATTGCTTTTCTATTCTTTTAATTTCCTCTAGACATCATGATTCAGAAAATAATTTATAACAATTTACGAATGCAGCAAAAATAAAGTGTTTGTAGCAACAAGTCATTTTGCGATGGCTTTTGAAATGTAGAGGAGGATGAAAAGCATAATCCCATCTGTCAGATCAAACAGCTCCCATTTTAACAAGAACAAACTTAACCTTCAGGAATCACTACATGGCTCCCACATTAGCATTTGCCTTCATGACTGGGTACAAATTGCTATGTGTTACATGTGAAGCGGTCGCCTTGCTCTGACCTTTGCCATGATAATCAGCAATTACCTGATTAGCCTGAGTCTGTTTTCCCTCAAACAAGTACAACCTGGATAATGCTGTTACTCCCCGATTACAACCAGATTTGCAATCAATCAGACACTAACAAGGCACGCATGAGCACTCAGATGAAACTGCACAATGCACACTCTCAGGAGACAGTTCAAGTACACTGGAAGATGCTACCAAACACCTTATCTTGTTTTTATGTGCTACTTAAATGGCCCATAGTACACTCTTTTCTGATATATGCTATAATGCTGTTTCCTCATCACAACCGACCTGGAGTTGAGTTTTGTTTTATTCACACATGTTTAACACACAAACCCTGCATTTTTAGGCTGAGTTCTTCTCTCAAACTGAAAGCACTTGTGATGTCATGTGGTAATAGTGCTCCATTGTGTTTTTAAACTCCATACACCTTCACTAGAATCATTTGGATCATTTCAACCCTGGAATTGCCAATCTCTTCTGATCTAAAGGTAAAAGGTAGCTGTGAACTCAAAAACTACTACTAAAGTGAGCATTTTAAGGTTTGGAGATGTAGACAGTAAAAATAATAAAGTAAAATAATAAAGGGTTATTCAAACGTGTGAATAAAATAAAGCACAACTTCAGGTATGTTTTTGAGGAGGTGACTATGTTTTAGAGCTCAATACAGTCAATTTTGCATAATACAGGACCTTTAAGCATACAAGCAGTTCATCTCAGCTTTTCCAGTGCCATTTGTCAATTTATACAATAACAAAATACTTGCCTTGACAAGATATCCTCTGATGTCAGGAAATAGTGCTAGCAGAGGCAGATATACAAACACCGTACACTTAGCTGCAAGGACCGCCAAATGAACCTGCAGCTACAACCTTGTACTTTAAAGCCCTGATAACAACACAAGGTTTTTCAATTTCCGCCTGAACAATCAAATGACTCGTACAATATCACTTTGAAATATTGCATTTGTTCCAGAAGTTCAAGAAGAAGTGACTCCGGCTCATCAGTCATCATCTCCCTGTCACCAGCTGTAATGGGGAAAAAAGAGAGGAAAAATGTGCAGGGCAGATGTTTGGTAGCAAAACACTACCTCATGTGATACATAAAAAGAAAAGAAATATATAAAACATCTTTAGCAAACTGATGTTGGCAAAACAGCAGCAAACAAAGGCATCTGGTTCACAGGAAGGGCAGCTGGTGCATGCTAGTATATCATGGCATAAAGAGCCAAAGGGGAAACTTAGCATTTTCAATCTATCAGAGCCGTCAGAACAAAGTATATTCCTCTAAACATCACTGCTCACATGTATCCTAGGGTCATTTTTGTCATTGCCAATCACGTCAGTTCTGTTTTTACTGTTAGTCACATAGTCGCTTTGATATTTTACCAGTAAGAGAGCAATGAACGTTTGCATAGTCATGTATTTAAAATGTGAATTTTTACTGTCAATAAAAAAACATTTTGTGAGCATTAACATTTAAACAGACATAAATCTGGATAAAATATGTAAGTGCTATGTGGAATGCATTAAACTTTAATCTTCTGGAAATGACAGCCGTTTAAATTGTATTTTATGGGATGTTTTACTAGAGTGACTATTTAGCATTTAAGAAAGTGTTTTGGCAAGACTTATAATAAAATTCATTCTGCTATATATATAATTCAGATGTTATATTTAGTTTCTAATTTGAATGAAAACCAAGACCATAATTGAGTTTGTACTTACGGTATTGATAGGAATCATATGATAGTAAAACTATCCCAAATGTTTTAATTAGATAGACTAAGATTATACCGGACTATAGTACATCGTATTTTGTCTAGAAATCTTAAACCATAACCTCCGTTTGAGGTCATTTAAGGCAAACTGGTTACTGAAAAATGAATGATTGCAGCTTTAAAAGATAATCATTGCATGGCTTATAGCGTTAATTGGTAGTATAATCAAGTTATATGAAGGCTTTTAAAGCAGAACGCCAAAGGTCAGTACTGCTCAAAAACACATTCTGGACCGTAAAATCCAAGTTGTAAAATTGGCGCGAGGACAGATAATTCCTCACTGCCAGCACAGAGACGCCATTCAATTCGCCATAAAACCCATCTAATGCTTTAATACCTTTTATTGCTCACTATTTTCTGAGCCCTGACACAGCAGCTCGGACCTGCACCTTTACTGCTTAGTGCACTAATCCTGAAGCCTAAATAAATATGTTCATTGGGTTATATTGATAGCCCCATTCTCAAAAAGAATCTCCTCTCCAGCACTGTTACTAAAACTCAAACTTAAAGCTGGCCGGGACAATGTGCTCTCTATTAGCCTTTCTCCCAGAGGTTAGTAATTTTGGGTGTCACGCACAGGTGATCGGTGTGAACCAGGAAGCCAGCATAGCCAACCTCAAAAAAGAAATGAACTGGAAACTGTACTGCAGGACCGCTGGGCACAATCTGACTCTGTCCTCACAGGGGGTGGATCATGCAACCAGGGACATATAATCCACCAGGCTGGCCGCTCACTGTCTGAACCCTATCCTGAAGGCACTTTAGGGGAGGGGGAGTGGCTACACCTATTTCAAATCCCTTGAACTAAGCAGATATATTTTTCTGTCGGATTACTTGTCCGGCTCTTCCTTTTATTAAAGAACTTTTTGTGTGTGTTCTTTTCTCTCTGCGGTCTCCTATTTCATTGTGAGCGCGACCTCGCTGTTCCCCGGGGTGCAGTGGGACCTATTCGCTCCGACATGTGAGCAGAAATGGGCTGCGCGGTTGCTGTGGTGGTAATGTGGGGGAGATAAGGTGTGTGTATGTGTGTGTAAAGACAGGAATTTATAACAACGTGGGGATTAAAATATGTATGCATGCACACTAACATCATGGGAACCTGTCTCCTGTACGGGGAAAAAAATCAGGTCTGCATGATGCAAATTCTTTATTATTTGCTAAAGCTAGGATACGGGTTAAAGCAGGTTAAGATTAGGGTTTAGGTTAAGGTTTGGCAAGTAGTAGTAGTAGTAGTAGTAGTAGTAGTAGTAGTAGTAGTAGTAGTAGTAGTAGTAGTAGTAGTAGTAGTAGTAGTAATTAGTTAAGGTTATGATCAGTCTCAAAGACAGAATTATCAATGTGCCTGTGATCTTGCCTGTGATCCAGAATACATACTTCTCCAATACTTTACAAGAAGTGAGTCTGATCATGTGTTGAATCTCATTGAGTTCAAATGGGCATGGTTGACAGGTGGATTAACCAATCAGGGACACAAAAGTCTATATCAAAACAAAGGTGGCTGCCTATGAAGAAAAAGAAAGAAAAAAAAAAAGAAAACAACATTGCAGATTTCTGTGGAATCAGAGAGTGAAGCACTAAACTCTGTTTATCTGAGGTAAAAGAAGTTTGTTTTTGTTCAAAATGATAGATGATCGTTGAAGTCTTGTTTCATCACTGAAACAAATCTCATTGCACACTACTGTCTGAATCTGGCTGGAGGCTCAGTGAAGACTGTGCTAACCAGATTTATATCTTTCTGTATAAAACTCATCAATTGTTTTGGACTTGCCAGGCAATGTAATGTCATCAGATGCATGGAAAGCCAACATGTGTGTTTATGTGTGAGGACAGAGGACTCACCCGTGTGGCTTCGGTGAGCGTGTGTGAGAGACGCCAGGCACAGGGACAACAGCAGGCTCCACAAACCCACTCCACAAATGCACCGCTCCCGCATTCTGCAACAGCACAGGAAAGAACAGTGGGTTAGAAATGACATACACTTACTTGAGCCGTGATGGATGTGACTGGAGAAGCTGCTGTGCTTTGAGCACTACACTTCACCGTCATTTCAGCTTCACATGTGAGATGGAGTTAGGGAGCCGTTCCAGTGACTGTGCATCTCCGGTGGCTTTTGGTTAAAATCTTTGTCCACATGGTCCATAAAATCTGTCACTAAGTCTTCATTTATTTACTTTTCAACTGCTCTGGCTATTTCCATATAATTGCTCACTTAAGACCTTATATAATATTATTTTAATGTGTGCACAACTTGACAAAATATGTAAAATTGTGTAAGTCATATAACACAAAATCCTGAAACAGCATTTTGACCCCTACAAAGCGGGCCTCTGCAAGCAGCATGCAGTACAGCGCAAAGCTAAACGATTTAACAGAAAACAGATTAGATTTGCAATTCATGTAATGTAGGATTCTGTTCAATGTAAATTGTAAACAACTCCAAGCGAAAAGACAGCTAAACTAATTTATGAATTTCATGCATTTCAGGACATGTTTATGGAGGTTTAAAAACTAAAGGGTTAGCAGTTTTTTATCAATAAAATGATATTTAGATTTTTACAGCGGACATTTTATCTAAATTATTGCAGCCTTGGCAATTTGATAATGACATTAACCAAAATTGCAAGTTTGCAATATTTTGTGCAGCCTGAGTGTAACATCAATTATTTAACAAGATAAAGTGAAACTACATTCTCTCATTCCACATGGGAATCGCATGTAAATCACCTTGGCCATAGTGGCAAAAACAGACACTCAAAACAAACATGGCAGAGCCTCATTATGACTATGACAATTATACAAGCCAGTCACAAATTCAGGGATTATTGCTTCAGCGCTGAGCAAACCTCGAACATGGTAAATCCGTTCCTCATACATGTGAAGACAGCTGTTAGGGTCAGCACGAGCAGCACTTAGCATTCAGAACACTCAGTAGAACATAAACAGCAAACAACACAAATGTTTTTTCCCCACACGGAGGATTGCTCTGAGCCCCTATATAGGGCTATGTACACAGCTCACACCTGAAGGATGCCAGCAGCACAAAGACATGGATTTCTTCACTTTCAATAATGTGTTATGAACATTTCCTAACCACTGTTTTTATGAGTGAGAGTCTGCTGAGGCTAAGAATGTGCACTAATGGTTCGTACATTGTGTTCCTACAATATGAAAAGAAAAGCTGCTCCACAGTTGTAGTATCAAGCTGGTGAAAACTATACTGAGTTTGTTTTTATAGTCTGAGTAATATGATTTCTTATCAGGCAGCTCTCGGTATTGCTGTATTAGATATCCTTGATATATACATTATGGATTTTGACTAAAAGCTCAAACAGAATAAAATGTATTTAGACTTCAGCATCACAATTTTTCATTAATACCTGGAGCTATATTTTCTTTCATTTACACATGGTTGAATAACCCATTATTATTAGTCCATCTACATCTCAAAAGGCTCTAAAGCAGGCATGTCCAAACTATGGCCCGGGGGCCAAATGCAGCTCTCAGACAAATTTTTCTTGGCCCTCAGACTTCCAGGTGAATTGGCCCAAATTACCTTGCATCAATTCAAAAATTGTGTTTTAGTAAAAGAGAATAACTAATCTTAAATATGGATGTATGTATGGACAGGATTTGTGTGTTAAACATGTGTGAATGAAACAAAACACAATTCCAGGTCTGTTTGTGATGTGAAGACAACAACATCACATAGATCAGAAAATAGCGTAATATAGGTAAAGTTTAAGTTGGGACAGTTTATACAGGTTAAATGTAAATGAAAAGCCAGCCAACACAAAGCATAAAGCCATGCCAAACTCTTTAAGTTAAGTCCTTTGAATGTAAATGACTTAAAATTGGGCCAATAAACAGAAAGATGAAACCTGTGATTACACAACAGGAAAAAAACAAACCATCAAATTTTTGCTTCCAAACTAATCATAGCCGTTTGTTATCTGAAAATGTTGTAGAGATGTCCTTTGTACTTCTGTAACCACTGTCTTCAGGTTGTCGTAGTAACTGAGAATTGGTTCCCAATCAACCTATCTGGATAAATAAAGGTTAAATAAATGAAAATAGTATTTAACAAATATTAAAACAAAAAACTGAGAATAAAATCCGGTGCTAATACCAGGTGATTTTCCTGTGCATGGATTATTCATATGATCTTACATCTGCTGGTGAATATGTGAACGTACTAATGGTGTATCATTGTGCAAAGCTGTTGTGCTACAACGAATGGTGTGAGAGCTGAACCCAGAGTAGAGTTTGGAGCCGTGAGGGTGACTCATCCCTGTATCTGTGGTGAAGCCTTTTCAGAACGGGGGCTAACAGCATGGCCAAATATGGAGAGCCAATACCAGACAATATAATGAAAATCCAAACAGGAAGTTATACAAACACAATGGAAGTAGAAAATTGTTTTGTTCACATTTAAATGGTCACATATCGGTAAATTACAATATTTTTTATATAGCATATTTAATGCTACAATGACTTTTATGAACGATTTTATGACTACAAATTAGGAATGAAACCTACATTAACATACATTAATAGAAATTTTAGTTTTACAAGTACAGCACGTAATTTCACTAATACTTCAGTTAAAGGGACTACCTGATTTCTTTCATGTAATAAAGTAAAATTTAACAGCAGCTCTTATGGTCAAAATAAGACTGCTGTGTGCCTTCTGAGTCTTATTATAAAACATTTTTATGGGCTGCAAACCAAGAAGTAACACTTGTGCTCTGTTAGCAGGCTATTGTTAGCAGTGGAGTGGAGTCCAAACTCCTCCCTGGTCTCTTATAAAATCATTGTGGTGAATAATTAGAATGCTAGGAATGCATTAGGAAAGTACGGATGAGGTTGGGCCGCTGCTGAAGAGTTTACAATGAACTCATTTTGTTTTTCACATAGAACAGTAAAAATACAGTACAGCACCTACAGCAATAATCGTAACAGAAATAATAATTTCATTTAATGTAAACGGCCCTCCACTACACTATTAAACTATTTACTGCTGATCTATGTTATAATGTGGTTTCCTCATCAAAAACATACCTGGAGTTTTGTTTTGTTTCATTCACACATGTTTAACACACAAACCCTGCATATTTAGAGAGTTCTTCTCTTAAACGGAAAACACCTTGTTACACTTTGTGATGTCATGTGGTAATACTGGAAGTACTCCACTGTCTTTTTAAACTCCACCTTCACTAGAATCCTTTGGATAATTTCAGACCTGGAACTGCCTATCACTGCTGAATAAAAGGTAAAAGGTAGCTGTTATAACTACCACTACATAATATCACGAGGTGGAACTAAGCATTTTTGTGATATAGACAGATAAATAAATAAATGATTACTCAAATGTGTGAATGAAATCAAACACACCTTTGACACAACTTATGTTTTGGGTGATGCAACAACATTAAAGCACGATTAAAGCTCACAAGAATCCATATTGTGTGATATAGGACTGTTAACTGTTCATCACTATATCATTTCATTTCATTATGGAAATAACAACACTGTAAGTTACTGGCTCATTTTGTGTTTGGCAAATGTGAACACGACGGTAAATATGTGGGTGAATAGGTACATAATATTTCTGTACTGTCCAAGCCTTGTCTCTGCTCATTCCCAGTTTATACATTGTTTACTTAGCATAGCACACAATGTTATTTTAGTGTTCTCTCATTGACTCCCTGCCTTCATTACTGAGTCCATATGCTCGGATGGTAGTGAATAATTAGGAAAGCCAGTGCACAGACAGTGGCTCTTCTGTGTGTGCGGCTCATTTAAACTGGACCTGGTGTTTGTGATGATGCAGTGCCACTTCATTACAGTCGCCTGTTTGGTCTGCCTGCTGCTGCACGTCCATGTGGGTGAGATCAGTGGAATTAGCATGAGTCGCCAATGAGGAGGAGAGGGGGCGAGAAGGTGACAAACAACAGCTCTCAAACTCTCTGCTCAAGAGAGGAAGTGACAGGCTGTCAGAGATACGGATGAGATTGACACATAGTTATAATGTCAGATTTTGAATTTATTGTAGAAAACTTTTTTTGTACTTGCTTTCTAAAAAATCTCTTTCTCCACAATGATCCCCAGTGGTTGCTTATTATGTCATAGACAACCCTATGTCATGTCAATCATTAGTCATCTGTTGCACTGTTTTTCCTTACAACCTCTTAGATATAGCTGATATATTTGCATTACTTAATTATTTATTATAATTATTTCTATATTTTATTTTTACTTGTACATATACATTTATACTATTATGCCTTATTTGACACCAGTCTTGTGTTATTTTTTGCCACTTATTTTGAATGTATATTTTTGCTCTTTTTTATTATAATATATTGTGATGTGCTTGTGATGAGCTAATTTCCTTTGTGAATCAAAAACATTTATTCAGCTTCCTATTACATGCAACATTTTGAAGACTTTTTCCCCATTCAAAAGATACAGTATTTTACAGTATGGTTGGAAATTGTATCTCTAATATCAAATAAAAATTAAATCAAACTTTATTTATAGCACACTTTTCATACAAAAATGCAGTGCAAAGCTAATAGGCTGGCTCCATTTGTTAACATATCAATAAAATGTAGGATATAAGGCCATAATGCACAATAAATACAGTGCAGTGTGTTGTTTAAAAAAAATTAAAAAAAAACTGGGATGAGTGGTACAAAAGTAAAAGGTAAACATATTACTCAATAATTCATGTTATTTATCTACAGTCAGAAGTATGGATGCACCACTTTGATACTGGCATTGGATATAAGTGCCAATATTGAAAACTTTTTAACTGATTGGATATCAGTTCCAAGATACTGGTTAATCAATATCCCATTTTGGTCCATAAATTAGTGTAATAAGATGATTTGTTTACGAATATTGTCCCAAAACACCTTGTAATATTGAACTT